AGCTGATCATTCCTTATGTTGATGCGTTGTTGGATCAAATAGGCTGAGTGGTGGAACTGCTCCTTGAAGCCACGAGGCTCAAATGGAATGTCAGATATATTCTCAGAGTATGGGTCGGGCATAGGTTGAGGTCCTCTTCTATGACTTTGGCGGGGGACATTCCAGGAGCTGATGATCAAAGGGGATGTTATCTGGGTGATCAAAGGTGGTGAGTTGCTTGTTTGGGAGACGGTGGGAGAAGAACTTGTCTGGATAATGATCTGAAGATATACTCGAAATGCTCTCCGACTTCATCACGTAGCCTCTGCAAGATCATGCATTTGCTCAAATAATCCAACATAGTCTATTCTGCTATCATGGTTGCACCTGCTCAAATTAGCATTGGAGGCAGAGAAAATAGGATGAAGAATAGTGTTGTAGTAAAGGTCAGGATTCGGGGTGTTCTTAGCCCATGGCCTTACTTTGTTCAGCTCCCTAAGTAAGATGCAACCCAAATTGACATCGCTAAAGTCGGAGGTAAACCTCTCCCCATTCTTTTTTCTGACGAAACTTTTAACTCCTTGAAACAAAAGGGCAACTCATCGACCTTAACCTGGTTGGTGTCGTATCTCGCAAAGATTGTGTTGTCCAGTAGCTTCTGAGCAATTTTGAGCACTGGATTCTTAATCAAAGTTCCCTTAGTAGCACCATTTTTTTAAGGTCCACTGCCAATAAAAGCCCAAATATCAGCGGCTTCATGGAAAGTTGGAAGTCATATAGAGGACCATCATTGAAATTGTAGGCTTTGTAGTCTTCAGAGACAGACAAGGTATGTAACTGTTCTTCAATCATGAATGTGAGCCGGCCTTGACTTGGCTTCTTCTCCCTTGGTCTGGTGTAGCGAAATTTCATTGTAGCAAAGAATTTCTTCATAGCAGACTTGTAATGGAACTCTTGATAATTTAAGAAAAACCCTAACCCCATGTTTTTCATCACCATCTTCAGATCTTCATAAAGCCCCAACTTTTTCATAAATATGTGGTGGACAAGCTTAGAGGGAAGAACCTTCACTCGAGCAAGCTTTGAGTAATCCTCCTTTTCCTCGTCTGTCCAGGCCCGCAGAATCTCTGATGGTATTTTCTCAGGTTTAATGGAGCTATTGGACTGAGCTTCCGGTGCTTTCCTCTTTCTGGTCTTTTGCCGGAGATGTTATTTTCCTTGCTGAGAGGATGCATATCTTGTTGCTTGTGCAGATTTCTTTTTTAAGGACTTCTTCAATGACGATCCCGCGGAATGCTTTCCTGTTGGAGTTCCTACCTTGCTTGGCTTTCGCTTATCGGTCATTGTGGTGCCTTGATAAATCTTGAAGAAATGGCAAGAAGTATGTGAACTTGAAGATGCGACCCAAACTTTTTATAAATTGAATCGTGAAAACGTCGAGATGAAAATGTCAGAGTCAATTATCAAATCTTTAGGTTATCGATGGATTCAAGATTGTGAGCTGTGGGATTTCCGTAGAGTGAGAATGAAATAAGGGAGAGATGAAAGCAGGGGTAGAAAAGGCGGGCTAAGACCGTAAAATCACACCATAAATATGTCATGAGATAACCGAAACAAACCGGGATAAAATAAATGAGCTAAGAGAGGAGGATAAAACCCGGTTTATGTGGAGTAGCTCCCTCAATTTTTGGTTTATTCGGTCGGAGCCCGGATTGAATTAGTATGACATCGTTACACACCGACCTCGTACTATCGATTCAGTCCCTTTCTTAGCAACGTAGCCTAGCGGTTAGACCCGTCGGTCAGAACCGATGACCGCCGTAAAGTCAGACCCCTGTCTAATTTCCCTCCTCATTCTCTCCGTTCGTGCTATGAAACTCTTTCAAACTCTGCTGCTGGAGGGTGGTAAGGGAGAGATAATTTGG